TTCAAAATAAAACATTGTTTTGAAAAAAGTTATTTTTATGACGTTTATCCTTTTGTTTAAAAGTCTCTCTCTTATATATATAATTTAACTTAGCACGTTGGGATGAAACGTTTAAACAATATGCTATGTTTAGGAGGGTTAATAACGACTTTTATCAATGCATATGAGGAAAAGTTGGAACAAGAGTGCAGTACAGGAACATGCACACACACACACACAGACACAGACACAATGACATTTTGGGGGTCACTTAGACCCAAAATGTAATTGAAGGACCGCATAATGGTTAATGGATATTAGGAAAAATTGGGCACAAGAGTGCAGTACAGGAACATGCACACACACACACACAGACACAGACACAATGACATTTTGGGGGTCACTTAGACCCAAAATGTAATTGAAGGACCGCATAATGGTTAATGGATATTAGGAAAAATTGGGCACAAGAGTGCAGTACAGGAACATGCACACACACACACAGACACAAAGACATATTGGACCGCACAAGGGTTAAACTCCCACTTCTGACCTCTAGTGGAGCATGATGACATTTCGGTCTAAATAAGCAAACACTCATAAACAAGCCCTTTGGGGCAGCTTTTGTTTTCAGGGGCGTTTACAGAAGAAGAAAAAAACAACTCTGATGTTGTTAATCGTAGGTGAACTAGTTAAATGTTTGAGTCACGTACTGTATGTGTGAACATATGTAAATACATATGTGTTTATACATGTTTATATTATAGATTGTATAGATATACAGGTACGTGTGTGCAACTGTTGTATGTATTTTTGTGTGTCTGTGATATTATAGGTTTGTGAATCTGTATTTCAATGTTGGTTATACTGGTGGTATTTTAAAAGACAAATATGGTCAGATGAGGTACGTGGGGTTTAAAGCTGAAAAACCACTGATTTAGCAAATAACAAAATCCATGTGACATTAGAAAATCTGAAAAAGGCTGGAAAAAACAAAAACGTTTTTACCTGATCAGGAAACCTGCGGATACTTTCCACTAGATATTGATAGGACTTCCAGTCTCCAGCAATAACCTCTCCCATAACAGGGATCAACTGGAAACTGTATACGTCATAAATCCTGAAAAATAAGAAACAACACAAAGAATGAGATTTGTCAATTGATGGGTCGAGAAAGTTCTAATAGTTGACGTTGATCTGTTTAAATATGGGAAGATCCTATATAGTTCCTATATAGTCAACGGCCACAAGGGGTCTGTGTTAATATGAAGAACAAACATTTATTAGTCGATTTTCATGCTAACAGAGGCTGTTTTAATGTGTCTATTTTCTACCTTTACTGACAGATATGAGGACACGTCTCAGAGATCTGTCCATGATGGCATCCTCTGTTCTCCTTACCTTGCAAACATAGGATTTGTGACTTTGCTAAACTCCAAACACATGAACCTGCCTCCAGGCTTCAGGACCCGGTGAGCCTCTTGAAGTGCCTGTGAAAAGAATTGCATCAATTCAGTGCCCACAGCTGCTAAACACAATAAGGAAGATAAATAGCAGAAATGTTATGTTTTTTTCCCCTAAAACAATGAAAACATAATTATGTATCCCTGTTATCCTGCTATTTGTCACAGCTGTTTCCTTTTTTTATCAGATCTCCACTCAGTCACCTGATCAATGTGAGTGACATTGCGGATGCCAAACGCGATGGTGTAAATGTCAAACTGGTTGTCATCAAAGGGCAGCTCCTCGGCGTCGCAAACCACCCAGGACAAACCTTAGACACATCAACACAGACAAGGACGGACGTAGGGGAAAGGCATTTGTTTTTATAGTTTGTACTAGACAACTTTAAT